ATCCTGAACCGCCTCTGCTGGCTCGTGGTTTGAGCTGGAGCGTGGCCCTGGCCAGAGACAATGCCGGTTAGCGCTCTTCCCCCAGACCCAGCCTGCCCCTCAGCACCGCCTACCCTGTAGGCTGCTCAGCTTGGGAATGTGGGCTGGAGGCAGACACCTGGCCTGGGAGAGGAAGCCTCCAGGGTGTGTGGGCTTTGTGTCTTCTGTGGGGACACGGCTGGGGGGCCAGGTGTCCCAGAGTAGAAACCCCACCCCCGTCCCCAGGTTGGCCCAGAAGCCCAAGCCCCATGTGGGCACAGCCGGGCCCCGGGGCCTCTGCCCCTCTCTTCATTTCCTTTGCCCTTGGGCACCAGGGGCTGGGCTGCTTCCTGCCTCTACCCTGGGTAGCCCTGAGAAACCCCTGGGGGCCTTCTAGACCCCAGCACACGGCTGTCTTTCTAGGGACGCTGGCAGGCTCCAATGCGTTGACTTGTTCTGTGTTTTGCAATTAGCAGTCTTGAATACCGGCTCCTTGCCGGCCCGCCGCTCATCTCCCCGAGGAGAGGTCCTGGGCATGGATGGGCCTTGGCTGCAGCCACCCTGCACATCCGTTCTCGTCGAGGGTCAGGTTAGCTCTAAGTCACAGTTCTCCACTCCGGCTCTGAGGGACGGTCTAGGCATGTGCTAGTTAGACCATGTCAGGGGGACGGCCCTGTGTGTAGACGTGACTGTGAACCCATCAGTCCATCCATCCGTTTGTTGGGCCCTGCCGTGGGCCAGGCACCAACCTGCTCTGGGGATTTGTGGGACCCAGGCCGATGGGGAGTGCTGGGGATATCAGTGTGAGTGCATAAGGTTATGCCATTGTGGAGATTTCAGAGAAGGGTGTGAGGTTCTAGATGGTTCTGTTTTCAAAGGATGAGGGAGCGTTTGTTGGAGAGGATTTAGTTTGCGAGTGGAAGAGGTTGCATGTACTAGGAATGGGGCATGACAGGCCAAAGGCCCAGGGCAGGAAGCAGGGGCCAGACCCCATATACTTGGCCAGGGAACTGGCCTGACCTCTGCTTCATGGTGGACATGTGCCAACGAAGGGCTAGGCAGGGGTACGAGCAGGAGGCTGAGGCAGGAGGTGGGCCCAGCAAGCCTGGTGGGTGTGAGCTGGAGGTGGCATCCAGTCCCGTGCTTGGGAGGGGTGGGGGGTGGGGGGCCAGGCCTGCAGGAGGCTGGGCACAGCCAAGGAGGCCAGCTCGGATTTGCTCCATCCAGCTGGATGCCCACGGGGGGGGTGGTGGTGGTGGTGGCTGTCCACAGAACTGGCCTCTCCCTGCAGGACACACCCAGGACTTCAAATGAAGTTGGTCCAGGGAAAGGACTTTGCCGGGGGGGGGGGTGTCCCCATGTGTAATAGTTTCCCAAGCCTGCCCTAATAAAGTCCCCAACCCTGGGGGCTTCAAACGACAGACATTTACTCTCAGAATCCTGGACGCCGAAAGTCCCAAATCCAGGTGTCAGCAGGACCACGCTCCCTCCGAGCCTCTGGAGGAGGGCCCCTTCTTCCTGGCCTTTTCCAGCTTCTGGTGGCTGCAGAAATCCACGGCGTCTGTAGTTTATGTCCACCTCACCTCAGTTTGCGCCCCTGTCTTCATGCGATCTTCTGTCTGCTCTTCTTATAAGGACACTTGCCATTGGATTTAGGGCCCATCTGGCTAATCCAGGATGAGATCCTTAACGACATATGCAAAAGTCCCTTTTCCAAATAAGGCCACATTCATAGTTCCTGGGGGCTAAGACTCAGACATATCTCTTTGGGGAACCCCATGTAGCCCATGACACCGGGTGACTCCGGGCAGGGCTCTCCCTCTACACCGCCCACTCCCTCCACCCAGTAGCATCCTGGCTGCCTTGCTCTGGAAGGCAGCTTCCAGCCCTAGGTATGGAGAGAAGAGTGAGGCCAGAGAGAGGAGGGGGTTTGTGGCTGGGGGCCCTAGGGCTGGCTCTGGGCAGACCCAGGCCCTGCAGGAGGGGCTGATATGAAGCATCTTATTTTGAGAGCTTGAGGTTTTTCCCAGTATGGGCACCAGCCACCCTTCCCTGGGCCCAGGGCCTACCCCGAGCCCAGCAGGCCCTCCTTGGCACCTTCAGTGCCTGAGCTGCCCCTGCGGGTGGCAGGCAGGCAGGCACTGGGTTGGGCACGGGAGCCCAGGGTGCCTACGGGAGGGCTGGGGCTGGGGTTCCCAGGGACGTGGTCCCATTCCTCACACCTCCACTCTCTGGCCGTCAGCCTGGCTGGTGCCAACGGCAGTGTCCTCGTGAGCAGTGTGGGTGAAGCTAGGACCAGCTTCATGGCTGTGAACGCAGAGGTGAGGCCGACTCCGTGCCCAGCTTCAGAGGTGGCATTGTGCTGGGTGTTGACCTTGCTCCCGAGCAGACTGAGGACCCTGGGAACCCAGAGTGAAAGCTCTCCTTCTCTCTTTTTTTTCAGGCTGACCCTTGGCCCTGCCTGGCCCTGCCGGCTGGCTCCCACCCACCGTGGTAAGTGCCCTACGTCTGGCGAGGCAGAGGGGTCCCCATGCCTGGCACTTTGAGGGGCCAGCCCTTAGGGTGGGGGGAGGACCTGCAACTTGGGGAGGGTGGGGTAGAAGACCAGAACCACCCGACGCGGGGACCCCAGCCCTGCCCCAGCCTCACGCGTGCTGCTGCTCCGGTGCTGGTGTGGGATCATTTCTGTGGCTGTTTCTACACACCGTAAAAGGTCATGGAGCTGCCATTATTGGAGAGTGCTCTGTTTTCGGGAATATAGATGGCAGTGTGATTTGCTGCAAGGGTCAAGTGCTGCCTCAGGAGGTAGGAGGGCACATGGAGAAACTGAGGCCCAGGGAAGGGGAGCCTGCAGAGGTCATGGAGCAGCCCGGGACTCCTGACCTCAGCCTCCCATAGGGAAACTAAGGCTGGAGAAGGGGCCAGTGTGGGTCTGACCCCCATGGGGACACCCCGGCTGCTGCCTTAACCTGAGGCCTCCCCGTCCATCCTTCTGTCCAGTGAGGGGCGGTACATCCCGGGGAGAGCTGGCAGGCTCCTGGTTCTTGTCCCTGTGGTTCTCACCCCCACGCCTGGCCCCCAGCCTCCCTGGGCCTCAGCCACCTTGTTGCCCCTGGATTCCTGCCCACCCTGGGATGTTGCCCTGAGCCCCTGTCCTGTCTTCGACTTCTTCACCCCAGCCCCTCCCAGCAGACTTTGCCTCCTCTGTCAGACCTGGCCCCCTCCTCTGGAGGCCTCCCCTGATCTAGTGCTTGCTGGGCCTGCCACCTTCTCTCCACCCCAGGGCCCCTTGGAGGCCGAGGCCCCCCTGCCCCCAGCCCAGAACTGCCCCCCTGGCTTGTCCCGGCTGGATCATGGCCCAGGGGCTCCTCACCTGCTACTTTATCTCAACCCTCAGCACCCATTGCACAGATGAAGAAACTGAGGCTCAGAGGGGCTAAGTAGGTTGAGGCCACACAGCTGGCACAGGATGGAGGTAGGCTGAGTGTCCAGTGTGTGTCTTGCTCTGGGGTCCTCTATCCACCCTGGGCAGGCTGCAACGGGGAAGAAGGGGAGGAAGCCCGCCTCTAAGCCACTGTCGTGGCCCAGTCTCTGCCAAAAGCCCAGTCTGCCCTCAGCCACCAGGGGCACTGAGGCTGGCTCAGGCGTGGGGAGGCCGGGGTGGCCGTGCCCAGCCTGGGGGGAGCTCACACACGAAGCCTCAGCTCCCCACCCTCCAACAGACAGCAGGAGGTCTGTGACCCCAGACAGGCCCCCAGGTGGCATGAGGGCCTTGGCAGAGGTCTGGGGCTGTGGACAAAGTGGGAGACGGAGGCCCCCCCCTCCCCCAGCCCGGGAGCTGCCCTCCTCCAGTGCCCCAATGACAAGTATGTGGGATGGCTAGATGCCAGTGTGGTCGATTGTTGGGGGCATGCCCCAGGAAACTTGCTGGACAAGACAGTTGGCAACTCCCGGGGAGCCCGTGGTCTGTGGCCTCTCTAACCCACAAACCTGCTGTGGGGGTCGTCCCAGAGTGCTCCTTCCTTTGGCCTCCGGTCCTCTGTGGGACCCAAGCTCAGGAGAGGAGAGGCAGGGGGTGTGGAGGCTCAGCACTGAACAGCCCAGGCTTGCATCCCTGCTCCCCAAATTCTTGGCTGTGGGTCTGGACAGGGGAGGAAGCCCGCCTTGGTGGGTCAGCGTAGGCCTGGGAGGGGCCTGAGTGGGACCCGGGGCAGGGCTTGGCTTTGGCAGCACCAGTGGAGAGGTGAGCGCTAGATGTGTGTGAGCCCAGCCCTGTACAGAGGCTGTGCCTGGCAGGGGAGGGGGGCGTGCTGTGGTAGAGGAGGGAGGGAGGGTGAAGGGATATGCCCAGGCCCAGGCCGGGAACGTGGTTCCTTGGTGCGTTGGTGTCAAAGGGCCGAGAGGTGGAGGTAGTGAGCTCCCTGCATGGGGTGTAAGCACCGGCTTCTTGGTGGGGGTGGGGGCCTCTGGGGCCCAGGAGACAGAGTCTGACACCCAGGGCTGTGAAGGGGCTTCGATGGTTTGCTGGAGAGAAGCTGAGTCTGCTGAGGAGGCAATGGGAGTATGTGTGGCGGGGGATGAGTAGGGAGCTTCCTCCCAGGGGACGAAGCTGGCCCTGCCCTGGGGCCTGGAGAGCTGTGGTCTCTGACCACAGTATGGGCTGGGAGGAGGGGTCGGCTGAAACTCCGCAGGCCTAACCTAACGGTGCTGACGAAGAGTGCAGCCCTGGGTCTCAAGTGGGCCTCAGGACACTGCAGTGTAGAAGGCAGGAAGTGCTGGCTAGCTGGGGCTGCCCAAGGACCGGCAACAGGAAGTGTCGGGTGGGGAGGAAACCCTGGTGGCCCCAGGCCCCAGATGGAGCAGGCGGCTGTCAGCAGCAGGGAGCTGTGGGCCTGGGCAGCGCTCAGAGACATGCCGGGGCATCAGGCCTCCCCTGCCTGGGGGAGGGAGGCTGCGGATCTGCCCTGTGACCCCTGAGTCACATGGCCTCCCAGGGCCTCAGGACACCTGCCCCTAGGCTGTCCACAGACAGGAGCAGAGCCATGTGCTGGGTCACTGCCTTCAGGTCAGTGGGGCTGCCCGGGGACTCGGGACTTGGGAGGTGGTGCTGGCCCCGTGTTTGCAGGATGGCCTGGGGAGGCTGAGCTCTGGAGTCCAGAGCTGACAGGCTGTGAGGAGAGCCCCGAGAGCTGGGAGACACAGTGGGGGCCCCACTGCCCCCCATCATGTGCTGCTCAGCCTGCAGCTGGCAGGGAGGAGGGGGCCAGGGTCGGGGTGCGCCTTCCCACCATATATGCTGCCGGGTGGCCTTGCCGTTTGGGTCCTGTGTGCACACACATTGAGTGAGTGTGTGTGCCCCGGGGGGAAGCGTGCTTGGGGGTCTGGCACGGAGCTGAGGGTCTGGGTGGGTGGGGGGGGGCTCTCCTCATGAAGCCCAGGTCATGCCCCTTCCCTCCGGCATGGCTGCCCACTGGCCTCCGGCCTCTGTAGGAGATTTTGGTTTTGATTCTCTTATGGAGAAAGATTCTGGGAAGAGGAAGCAGGGGGGACTGAAAGGGTGGAGAACAGATGGGCTGTGTGTGCCCACCGCCACCTAGTGCCTGCCGGGTGCCAGGCGGGGGGAGTGGCTGCCCCTGGCGTCCCCCCCCCCCCCCCCCCCCCCCCCCCCCCCCCGTGTTTACTGGCTGTGTAACTTTGGGCAAGTTTCTCAGCCTCTCAACCCTCAATGTCTTCATCAGTGGCGTGGCAATGATGCTGGCTCACATGTCAGGGGGTGTTGGGATGGTGACATGGGGTTATCCCTGAGAAGCACAGAGCCTGGCCCATGGTGAGTGCCCAGTGCCCTTCTCCCAGCCTCGCTGTTCTAGTCTGTAAAATGGGAGTAAAGCACTCCCAAGTAAAGTAAAATGGGCCTGTGGGACCTAAGGAGCTGGCAGGTGCAACTTGGCCCTGGGCCCATGCAGGGCTGGAGGGTGGTGATGATGATTCGGACCTATGCTCGGGCTGCCAGCCCAGGGTCTGGGGGCACCCACGGAGGGTCTTGTTAGCCTCTGGAGGCTGTGTGTGTGCGTCTGCTTACAAGGAAGTGAATGAGTATGTACCAGTGTGAGTCCATAAATATGGGTATGAGTATAGTGTGCTTGAGCGTGTGAGAATGAGTATACGTCTGAGTGTGCAAGTGAATGCGTGTGTCTGAGTGTGTGTGTGTACGTGTGCGTGTGTACGTGTGCATATATGTGTCTGCGGTGGGTGTGTGTGCGTGGGAATGAGAGTGTTCAGGGACCCCTGGCCCCACTGTGTCCTGCAGTTCCGGGATTGTCTGGTCATCACTGACAGGAACCCTTGACTGTGGTCACACGAGGCGCCAGCTCCCTCACCACAGCCAGGGCTGTGACTGCAGGTGTGGAAGAGGAGAGCCACGGGAGCTCGGCCTCCAGGGCCCCTGCTCGGCTCTCGTGTGCGCGCATGCACACACACTGATGCGCACACTGTAGCCGCACAGAGCTGTGCTGTTCACACGCACCGCCCGTCTGAGCACACTGCCTGAGACACTGAACGGGGGTGTGGAGCCTCGGCTCCCATGCGGGCCGGTGCAGGGGACGACCGCGCACCTCGGGGGCTCACAGCCTCATGGGCGGGTGGGACCCACTGAGCCTGCACTTCGTGGGACTCGACGAGGGCTGTCTCTGCAGGCCAGAGCGGTGTTCACCCATCTGCTCTGCCCCCATCCCTGCATCTCAGGCCTCCGGTCACCCAGACTAATCTCAACTTTAAGAGAAGGTCAGGGGCGAGCATAGGAGCAGAGACCAGAGAGTGTGCCTGAGGTGCCTGCCTTCCCTAGTGCTCGTCGTGCACACGAAGATCACACGCCTTCTGGAAGGGCTCATCCAGAGCCCACAGTGCCGGCCATCTTAACGCCGACCTTTATGTCTTCAGAACCCTGCCCCAGACAGCTCCGCTGAGCTGCAGGGAACGGAGCCGCTCCCAGCGCGGCAAGCTGGTGTGCCCCTGCAGCCAGCTCCCTGGGCGGCCTTGGTACCCTCCTCTGGAGGGGTAGATGCCCTGACCGGTGTTGGGGCGCTGTGAAGACGGGACTCTGCGCCCACCTGAAATGAGAAGAAGCAGAGACTCCGTGGAGGACAAGCCTGGTGGGATTTGAACGCAGGCCTCCAGCACTCTCCCTGACAGCTCCCCCGTAGGGGGGCTCAGCAGGCACCCCCACCCCCGGCAGCACAGGAAGGGGCCCCCACTGCTGTGTCTGCCTCTGCAGAAGAAGGGACTGAAGCTTCCTGTTGATGAGCTCATGGGATGAGCTGGGCGACACCAGGAGCGTAGAGGGAGGTGGCCAGGGAGGCCAGGCTGGCCAGGAGTGTGGGTGTTTCTGAGGGACTCGCCTCAGTTTTCCCAGGCACCAGTGGAGATGGACTGAAAGTCCCCAAAAGCTGTGTGATCACCTCGGCCACCATGGCCCGTCATCACCCCTACCCTCAGCCACCATTTCCTTCCCTTTTCTGTTCCAGCCTGGCCTGGCACTCAGCTCTTGGTCAGGTGCCAACCCAGCTCACCCACTGGTGCAGGGCAGAGCTGGGTGGGGCGGGACGCTTTGGGGGCAACAGGATGGGTTTCCCCTCAGATGGTCTGTCCTCTGGAGAGGAGCCGAGGATGGGATGTTGGCATCTGTCCCTGAAGTGAGGACATTCCTAGGGGAGGTGAAGGTGAGCACAACCTAACTCTGTCACCACCCACCCTCCCCACCCAAGGTCAGGCTGGCCGCCTAAGAGCCCTCATCCTGCCCACAGAAAGACTGTGGCCAGGCAAGAGCGAGGCTCTCACAGGCCTACCCCGGCCTGGCCACTGAGCTGAGCCAGAGTGGGGCTGTAAATTGCCCTAACTCCTCCCCTCTGGCTTCCCCCAGGTGTGGAGTGAGGAGAAGTGGTGGGTTCCATCCGTCCTCACAGCAGCTGCCCCTGCCCCAACACACACACCAGGTCTCCTTACAGATTGGGGAGGATGCAGTATGCCAGGGTGGGAGCGATATTTTGGCATTCTGTGCCTTCCAGGCAAGTGCCGTCCCTACCACCCACTGGGGTCAACATTCTGTGCCTCCTTTGGGGCTCCCTGGGTGCTGGGCCTGAGCTGGTGAGAATGGGGGACAGTGACAAGCTAGTGTGGTCAGTGTTACATGGAGGGAAGGCTGTGTAAGCCCCGAGGAGGGACATAGGACCCCCTATAGGTCAGGGAAGACCACCTGAAAGAGGGGACACTTGAGCTAACTCTCATGTCATTTTTGGATTGTTTGCTACTAGTATGTAGAAGTATGACTGGTTTTTGTCTGTTGATCTTTTATCCTGCTAGCTCGTTTGTTAGCTCCAGTCACTTTTTAGTGGGTTCCCTGGTATTTTTTGTATATGTAACCATCTAAGTTGTGAATAGTTTTACTTCTTCATTCCCAGTCTGGATACCTTTTACTTCTTTTTCTTGCCTAGTTGTACTGGACAGCAGCTCTGATACAGGCTGGAGAGAAGTAGCAAGAGCAAACGTCTTTACCTCGTCCCTGCTCTTAGGGGAAAGCTTTTAGTCTTTTACCATCGAGGGTGATGTTGGCTGTGGGTTTTTCATAAACACTTTACCATGTTGAGGACGTTTTCTCCTGTTCCTAGTTTGTTGAGTGTTGTCCCTATCGTGAAAGATTGTCAGATTTTGTCAAATGCTTTTTCTGTGTCTGTTGAGATAATCGTGTGGTTTCTGTCATTTTTTTGTATTATTGGTATGATGTGGTATAATCATTGAATTTTAAGTGTTACCCTTGTATTCCTGGGATATAGCGCACTTAGCATGGTTTAGAATCCTTTTTACATGGTGCTGAATTCAATTTGCTAGTATTTTGGTGAGCATTTTTTTTAGAGGGGGGAGGGAAAGAAGGGGGAGGGGCAGAGAGAGAGAATCTTAAGCAGGCTCCATGCCCAGCACAGAGCCTGACACGGGGCTTAATCTCACAACCCTGAGATCATGACTTGAGCTGAAATCAAGCCTGACACTTAACTGGGTGAACCATCCAGGCGCCCCTTGGTGAGGATTTTGACGTCTACAATCATAAGGGTTATTGGTCTGCAGTTCTCTTGTGTTGTCTTTGGTTTTGGTATCAGGATAATGCTGGCCTTACAGAGTCCTTTCCTTCCTCTTCTGTTTCTGGAGGAGTTAATGATGAATTGGTGCTCATTTGCAGCAACTCTTGGGGGCTGAGTTGGTTTGGTTGCAACTTCAGGCAGTGGAAACTGGACTGTCGCCTGGAGGTGGTGCTTGGTGGTTTTGGGTCTTGGATTCAGGAGGCACGGGGTCTGGATGGCACAAGGGCATGGAGGTGGAGGGCGGGAGGAGAGCCCCTGAGAAAGATCCATGGGGGCTGGGTCTGGAAAGGCCAAGTGTGCATGATGAGGCCCTGGAGATCTGGAACAGTGGTGATGGGAATGGCATGTGCGGGTGGGGGAGAACGTGCTGAGTGGAGGTGATGGGGGGAGAGAATGGAGGCAGGGGAGGCAACGGAGACAAGGGGTGCTGGGTTGCTGCCCAGAGATGGTCGGGAGGAGGACAGGCAGGGTGGCTGGGAGGAGCAGGGGGAGGTGGTGGCCCAGAGGGCTGAGTGCGTTGCCAGGGGAGGGACTGGCAAGGGCGCTGGGAACAGAGGTACACAGTTGGGACAGAGCCTCTCGCTGCAGTGGGAGAGGGCACCCAGAACCAGCCTGACGTGGAGGCAGGAAACCATGGAATGGGGCCATGTCCAGCTGGGTGGGAGCAGGGCCCAAGCTCTTAGAGCTACCCTCTGCCTCAGATGGCCCATCTCACCGGCAGCCTGTATGCGGTGGGAGGTAGAGGGGGCAGAATGCTTGGGGGGCCAGCAAGGCCATCACCCACCTTTGGCCAGCCTGGGGTTGTCCTAGGAGAGGAGCCCACATCTACCCAAGCAGGGGGAGCTGCCAAGGACTGGACTTCTGACTCCTGCAGGGAATCTGGCCTGGGGGGTGGGGGGTGTTGGTGGAGCCCCGTGGCGACAGATGGGTGAAGCAACCTGCCTGAGAGGGGGCGGGAGGACCCAGAGACCCACCCGGAGCCCCAGTGCCTGCCAGCCAGACCCGCTTCACCCCGGCCACAAGCATGGGAGGCCGGGCGCCCCTCACCCCCATTTGCGGAGGCGCAGCCTGAGGCTCAGGGAAGACAAGCCCCCCCTCTCCCAAGGGCGCTAGCCAGCCGGGGGCCTAGCGGGCTCGGGGCATGCTGGCTTCTGGCTTCTGGGCCGCACTTCAGACGTCCGCGTCGCGCCCCGGGCCCCGCGCCTCCGTCTTCCAGGAGCGGCTGGGGAAACTGAGGCCCCGCGCGGGGGGCCGTGGGGCGGCGGGCGTAGCGCCAGG